AACTCTCTTTTTAGAAATGATAGTATGCGTTATGTTTACCTATATATACACACAAAGAATATTCAAACACTTACACATATGTTAGAATCACTGATCATATTTGAAGTGATGACTACTGATAATGGTATAACCACTTAATATATAATACAGGGCCTCCCTGGTGGCACAAGAGGTTAAGCACCGCACTATGAAGCAATCCACAGCCTCTGTAACATGAGTTCGATCCCCAGCCGGCCAGGGAGAAACCCACATGGCGCAGCAGACCTCTCCTGTCTCGCCCGCTGCTCCCCTCAGCAGTGTATTTCGGTCAGTCTGCCTGTTCTGTTCCCCACTCTGTCTCTGGTGAGTCCTCTTACTCCCAGCATCTCTGGTCTGTATGCATAAATAAATAAATCTAAAAAAAAAAAAGAGAGAGAAAAAGAAAAAGAAAAATATAATACAGAGTCTTTCTTTTCCACACTATGCACAAGAAAATTTTTTCGCTGGCAGATGCTGTCATAGTATTTCTGACAATATTCAGAAAACTACCAATGGTATTTCCCTGACACTGTCTATCCATCTCAACACAAACTGATGCAAATGAGGAGAATCTGCCTTTACCTAGAGTTAAATAAAAACTTCCCACTCAAAGCTAATTCACATAAATTGTTATTCTTATATTATTATTATTTTCCCCTAAACTGTGCTTATCCTTCTTATATTAGTATTTCCCAACAGTCTTTTGTTTTTTATTTCAGGACAAATTATTTTAAATGAAACAAAATGCCAATACCCGTTCTATAACCAGTAAGGAAAAAATCGAAAAACTAGGGAATAGATGAGTAGTCAAAACCAATATACTAATTTCACACTTAACAACTGAAAATATTGTACATTGATAAGTGCATGTATTCAATAGTTACAAAGAGAATGAATTAATATTCACAAACCAAAATACTTTTGATCACCTAAGAAAGAAGGCATGTTGCTATAATGTGGCCTATATAAAAGAATAAAGATTATCATTTTGTTCCCCAAGTCCTTTCTAATTTAAGATTACTCAGTATAATTTCAACATTACTGATATTTCTGATAGTAACTGCATTAATTCCAAAGCTAGCAGATGAGAAAGCAATGGTAAAACAGAACTGAAATTATTCTTGACCCCAATCTCTTAAGTAGATACAAATATATCCTTAGAACAAATTCTAACACTTTTATCATTATAGGCCACAAAAGAATTTTCCAATGCTGATGTAAAACCAGTGTATTTAACAGAAAAGGAGATGAAATGGAAGGCAGGTTCTAAGAAATAAATACAGGGAAAAAATATGGAACCAAATAAATTTCTTTTACTATAATTAATAGCACCTATGGAAGCTAAATCCTTACAGCTCTGCCAACCCCTAACATTTTGATTCAGCAAAAACCTTTACTACGCATACACACTTCTAACCTACTTTCTAAAAACTCCAATTTCATATACAATATTAAATCATTTCCTACATGTTCACCTTACTAAAAAGGCTAAGGTACAAATTTTAAAAATAGAACGTTAACTAAGAGTGAATTAATGTTGAAATTTTTTAATGGATTTTCCATAGTAAATATTTCTCCATTGAAAGTCACAGAAGAGAATACCTCATAGTTACTAAGCTTCAAGTTATCACTAAATGAACAAACAGTAAATAGGGCAAATTTCAAAATGAGCACATTTGAAAATAGGAACTAAAGACTTTGCTTCCAAAAAGGAAGAAATTTCCTATTAAGAAGTCTGCATATTTTATGTAATTACCAGTAAAAAGCACAAAAAGTGATATTCTTCCACATAAAAGTTACAATAGCACCAGCTACCTTTCTGATGTCGAAATGCTAAAAAGTAAGACACTCAAGTGTATTTATCTTTCTGAACCTAAATTTAAAATTAACATGGTTATATTTCACCATATTTTATGATGTTTAATTATTTATATCATACGCAATATAAAATTGCACTGACTGTACAACTGCGAAAACGTTTACAGGCACAGCTAAAAAGTTCTTTTTCCTTAGATTAAGAGTCATATAAATTGTAAATAACTCTCTTTTCAGGTGTGCTTTATTCTTACATAAAGCTTTACGAAAATGAAGTTTGTAAATTTTCATGTAGCAGTTAGGTGTCCCCATCGTGTTGTTTAGGAAAGAAATACAACTTAGCAGACACATAACAGTGTAAAATAAAAACTAAATGCAATCTATAAAAACAAACACACACAATATGGTCATATTAGTAATCCCTAATCTTAAGAGATAATACAGTTAACTTCAATTGTCATTATACTCTAAAATTAAAAATATCCTCTACAAGGGGAATAAAGATACAAACTTATCAAACAATAAAAAAAAAACACTAAATTTCCTGTGGGATCTAAAGATGCTAATTTTTTTAGAGACTCATGTTTAGTAGATAAACAGTAAGTGTAAAACCTCACCAACAAATTCTTTTTAGAATAATCAATTTTTCAAAAATATTTAAATCTGAGTCATGGTCCTCAATCCTCCTCTGAGAAATCACTTCACTGTTAATCTTCCTCAGAAAAAAAGTATTCCAATCACTACTTTCATAAAGGAATTTACCTCTTACAGACTAGCTGCTGAAATAGATAACTTTACAACCTGCCAGAGACAGTCTTCATGACCATTTTAATTTTCCCCCCATAAACACAAAATAACAAAGTGAAACCAAGCAAATCAAAGTACTTTGGTATATCAAAATTATTGGAAGAACTGTCACATAAAGCAAGCCCTCCACTGACTTTTCCTTAACCGATTTTTTTTTTCATATCAAGATTTGGCTCAATAAAACCACAACTCTAGAAATTAAGTGTTATTAGTCATTTGATGCAGAATTTGATAACGCTTTCTATGCATTCCATAACTAAAAGCACAGTTCTAGAGAAAGTTTTAAGTCACATGAATTTCACTTAGAGACACACATACTCTGAACTCAAAGGAGAAACTGTCAATCACCTTACTGCTCACATTTAAGAACCTGCCAGAACATTATTAGTCTTATACCATGATAACTTTAAATGAAATAGGCATTTATTCACACTAACAATTGACTACCTTTGAAATATGTTAGAAATCAGGAGTTTTTCCATAGTTAATTATCTTCTGGACAAGCAGATCAAGTTCAGCCTTAATAAAATTTTCAATTAATGCAATCTTGAAAATTTCCCACTATTCTTTAACAATATTCTTTTAACAGAGAACTGTTAACTTTTGTGTATTGCTACTTCTTCTGTAACTTTTATCTTCATTTCGCAACAAAAATGTGCGCAAAATTAGCTCTGCACACTTCTGTGCAGCTACATAATACAAAGAAATAAAACATCTTGATATAAAATATTTTCTCCGAAGGAAAAAAACCTGCCCCACAATTTTAGGACATAGACACTTTAGTATCACTCTTTAAAGCAAAATGTTTACTTACATTTGTTAAGAATTAACTTTCATTAAGAGTACTCTATTAACACACAATTATGTAACTTTAACTAAATACTGTCCATTGCTACAATTCATATCACCAAATTTTTGGTCTTTAATAGGGCCCTTAATATAATGCTTCAGTCACCTCAGGCCAATAATTTAATTCTGTTTTTCATGCCTTATACACTTGCCTACCAGTAAATCTCAATTCCTTTGATATTTTCTATTCTGCAAAAACAGAGGGCTCTATCCCCATCTTTGATCAAAACCAGTTTGTTATACCTGAAACTGCAAAAATTACTGCCTTTCAATAACCACTATCTTTTGAAGTACAGACACCAAACTTTGAGATAACCAAAACTATACACACACAGTTAAAATTCTTGGGTTTCTGTCTTATTCGACAAGCTGACTCAGTACATTTAAAACACTACAGATAAAAACTAAGACACCTACAATCTGAAGCTGGAGTCATCCACTCTTGCCACCACTTCTGGATTTTAACTGGTCAATTACACTGGACATTCTGCACCAGTCAGAGTAAAATTAACAGCTACCCAAAGGTGTCGGGGGCCCAGAAACCTCAGTGAGATGAGTGGCAATTCTGGCATCACAGCACTACTGAAATTTCAAGTGAAAACTGAAGTTTAATCTCTGCAATCACCATTTGCTATACACAATACCCCTGAACCTACACCACATTATCATGAGATCAAAAAGCACTAAATGGCCATTCTATTAAGTACGACAGGAGCCCTGAATAGAAAAATGCTACCTTACTGCAAATTTCATGCTCTATCCTACCTCACCCCATCAGGAGAGGAAAAGGCAAATTTAACAAAGATCTAACAAGAGCACCCTGTGAGGCTTATTATTGCACTATTGATTTCAAACTTCCGAAATGCAGCTCAAAGTTCTAATTAACGAGGTTTAAACACACAAGTCTACTTTTTGCTCTCAAACGAGCACCATATATGCAGGACATGATTCTCCTTTTAAAGCTATGCAAATCAGTTCACAACTCACATTTTTTAAAAAAATCTATCGATGCAACCCAGGAAATTAAAAACAATCACTGCAAGATTCTGATGCAATATGCGTACGTGCAGCACTAATTTTCATTTTAATCTGATCTATACCCTTGATCTAGGGCCTAAAGCCAAGATTTAATCGAAATATGCTGAACCTCAAAGCGTCTACTTTTCTGTTCACTTAGTCGACCGGATTACCGAGCTGGCTAATCCACTAACAGTGCACTGTATTCTGCATTAACGGACAATAGCCCTTCGGAAGAGACCCCACAGACAGACCCAGAAGCCAGTCGGCGCCTTGACACTTGCAACCAGGCAAGAAGAGTTCGGTCTCGCCGAACACACCCTAGCGTGAATGCCTTCAAGAGACACACAAAATACCTAAGACCTAGAAATTCGACCAGGGTTAGATGTTATAGTCACCCAAACTACGGAAAATTTTCGCATCCTTCTCCTCCCACGGTAGGAGACAAGAGTGACAGAAAGGCAAAGAGCAGCAGCAGCCCCAGAAATGGATACAGGTCAAGTCTAAGTCGAATCCATCCTCTTGATATCTCCTTTTGTTTCTGCTAACGATCTCTTTGATGATGGCTGTCATGTCTGGGAGCCTGTGGCTGAAGAAAAAGGAGGAGAGAGATGGCAGAAGCGGCTGGTGGCGGGGCTTCTTCTGCAGGATGGAAATGGCTCTGGACTTGGCGGTGGCTGATGCCCCTCGCTCGGCTGCCGCTTGGCTCTGGACCGCAGCCGGGTAATGGCTGCTGCGGCGGCTGCTGGATGGTTGCAGCGGCGGGGCCTGCTTCTCCTCAGCAGCCAGAGGCCTGGCAGCGGCGGCAGCCGCACGGGGAGAAGACGCAGAATCCTCGGAGCCGCAGCCTCCTCCGGCGGCCTCCGGAGCCCGGGCCGAGGGGGGTGCGGCGGCGGCGGAGGGGAGGTTTAGAACCGGCCCGGGTCCCTGGCCGTGCCGCCGCCGCCGCCGCCGTGTTGGAGGCAGGAGGAGGGGAGAGAGCAACTCTCCGGCGTTCCCAGCCCTGGCAATGGTGACAGGCGACGCCGACCCCCTCCCCGGAGCTGCGGCCGCCGCCGCCGCTTCTCCCCCCCGCTCCAGGAGCGGGAGGTGCCGCCGCCGCCGCGCCTCAGCCGGCTCCCGCCCGAGCCCAAGGCTTCCACCTTCCCTCTCAGGAGAAGCCGGGAAGAGGCTGCACGGTTAGAAAAGACCGAGAGGAGGCGAGGAGCGTCGCCGCTGTCGCCGCCGCCGGCCGGCCGGCTCCCCGAGGGCGCTGCCCCCGCGGCTGCTCACGGGCGCTGAGAGGGGCTCTGGGCCGCGGCCGCCGCCGTCTCTCATCTCCCTCGCCTGCGCCCGGCCTCGCCTCGCAGCGGCTCAACTCTCAAACTTCCATCATGGCTGCAGCTTCCGAGAGGAGAGAACTGAGCGCAGCCGCGTCCCGGCGCCCGAACGCGTATCCTGCCGCAGTGCACAAAGAGTCCCGCCACATCACCGCCCGCCGGCCTGCCCGCCCCCTCCGCCGCCGCGCGGGGAGCCGGGGCGCCGCCGGAGCTCCAGGGGCGGCGGGAGGCGGCCGGCACCGCGCCGAGGGGAGGGAGGACGGGCCGGGCCGGGCCGGGGCGGCAGGGAGGGGGCAGAAGCGGCCGCGCCGGGTGCGAAAGCCCAGTCCGCGACCTGCGGGCGCCACTGAGCATGCCCAGTGGGGCTGCCCGGGGCTCGCTCGGGCTTGTCGGGGAGAGCCCGCCGGTGACTGCGCTGGCCGCGGCTGCTGCGGCTACGCAGGGCGGCGGGAGGGTGCCGAGCCTCGGCCTGGGCCCAGAAACCCAGCCCGGGGGCGTGTGGGCTGCCGCGGGCGGCCGGGGGGAACCGGAGGGGAAAGCTGAGGGGGTGCGTTGAGGAGTGTCACTGGCCGGCGTCCGGGGCTGCCGGCGCGCAGGTGGAAAGGACTGGGGGGCCGGCGCTGGGCGGTGTGCGGGGACACGCTGGGGCGGACCCCGCAGCGGGGGCGCCCCTCCCCCTGCCCCCCAGATTTCCCCGGCACGGCCTGCGCCCTCGCTCTCCTTCGGCACCGTGGCCGGGTCACAGCCGTGCGCGGGCATTTACCTGCCGCAGCCTTTGCCAAGAACGCCCGCCTCCCCTCCCCCACCCCAGGCCGGGTCCTCAGGTGTCAGTCTCGGCACAAAGAACAACCCCCTATTGTGTCTCCACCGCATCTCACCTCATCCGGCTCCTCGCGCCGCCCCACCTCCCGCTTCCCCGGCAACTAGCCTGATTTGCCCTAAAAATGAAAGCTCCCGCCCAAGCGCGTCAAGTGTGAGCCCATCATCCCTGAAGCCCTACGTCTCCAAGGACGGCCGTCCCGGGGGACTGGAGGCGGGCGCCCCAGGGTGGGCCGCAGCCCGCAGCGCCGACCCTCTCCGCCCCCCGAGGCGCGCGTTCTGGCCGCCGCGTCGAGCTCAATCAAGCCCGGTCCTCCGAGGCGCCCTCGCCCCGCCCCTTTTGGACCAGCGTGAAAACCCGGCCGGGTGGATCGCGCGGGGGCCCGGCGGCGCGCCCCCCGCCCGCGGCGCCGTGCACGCCGGCCGCCGGGCTGCAGCGCCCGAGTGGAGTCCCGCACGGCGGGCGCTTCCCCCCTGCGAGTGGGCGGGCCCGAGCAGGCCGAGGAGCGCTCAAAAGGAGGTGGAGGGATACCGAGCGCGGCCGGAACTACTTTCGCGGGGTCACGTGGGCGCCTAGTTGGGGAACTTTCCAAATTCCCACTCCCCTGTGAGAGCTCCCGGGGCAAGTGCTTCGCTCCCCGCGCCCGGGTCGCTCCCGCCCCGCGCGGGCGGCGGGACCCCGGAGCCTTCCCGGTGGCGGCGGACAGGCAGGCTCAGACGAGCCTTCCGCCCGAGCGCTGGCGGGGTTGGCGCCCGGGGAGCTGGTTACACAAGTACCCACATCCAAGCACGTGCCCCCGCCTTCCCTCACCGCTGGCGGCCGCCGCTGACTCTTGCAGACCAGGGAGCGAGAGTTCCCCAGCGGTGGTCCCACCGCCCCCTTGCTGCCCACGAGAGCGAGCCGAAGGGCTGAGACCGGAGGCTCCTTGCGCCCGCCCGGCTAACACAACTGTGGGAAAAAAGGGTTGGGCCCGGAGGCTGGCGCTTCTCTCCCCTGCTAGTGCCCTGCCCATTAGGGCGAACTCTGGGTTCTGTGCTCCAGGGGCAAAAGGGTATCTCCTGCGGCAGCCGGCTGCTCGGATTCGCCGGTATTGCAACAAACTTCCAATCACTGCCCCACAGCTGGTGAGCGCGCCCCACCTACTGTAGATTCCGCCAAGTGACTTCTCTGGTCGCAGAACCTCGTCAATGGCCGTCAGCCCAGAACAAACCTGTCAAGTCGGCTTACAACCCCGACTGGTTGACCTAACTCCGGGAGAGAGCTGCTTCAGAAACGCTGAGAATTGGAGCTCATCAACGACAAAAGCTTGTTGTCCACCCTCTGCTTGGAGAGAATGGGCATCAATCAACACCAATCAGGGGATTTCTTCCTTTCCCCCCCCCCACCTGGAAACTAGAATTCCAGGGGGAAAAAAATGAGTCAGGAATTACCTGACTCGAGACCCATACTGAGGCATGGGATCCTTTTTAGATCTGGGAGACTGGGGACTCATTTGCATGTGTGTTATAATAAATGTGAGTAGGTGCATAGGAAGGTCTAAAGAGGATTTCTGTGGTGTATGAGACAGAAGATTGTATATGAGCACATCATAGTTGCAGGCAGCCCCTGAAGACTAGAAACCCCAAGAGACCTAACTTAGAAACCACAGGCCATTACCTAACTCCAAGACTACTAATTAAACCAGGGATATTTACAGTGTTCTTAGAGTTCTCTGAGGCTCCATAAAACTTTGCATTTATATACAACGTCCTTTTAAGATAGCGCCACATGAGTTAGCAACTTGCTCAATCTTCAGTGTTGATGTTTATAGGAAACTGGTTTTGTGCATGATTCCGGTCAGTTTGGGGGGGGGGGGCGGGCGCGGGCCGGGGGCGGGGGGGCGCGGGGGAGGGCAGGGACCACAAGTGGAAAAGGAAATGAAGAGCAACCTGAAAAGAGGACAAGGGCTCCACTTGGTTTCCAAACATGCAAATCCTGTCCATACAGCTAGTGTGAAACAGGGATTTCTTTACAAATAATCAAGGATCCTAGGCAAAATTATAATAATAATAAAGGGTTCACAGATTTCTAGGTGTTCCACTAGACGTCATGATAAGAACCTAAGCTATACTCAATTGACTCAGCTACTGCTTGGTAGGGAGAGGGAAAATGAAGACGAAGTATAATGAAGGGAAGTAGTTTAAGGAAGGAAAAAACGAACAGCCACGTTTGTTTCTCAGGGCACTGAGCTAGTTCCCAGAGTCAACGTCATTAGCAATGCCTGATTTGTTCTCCCTGGGAGCCCACCCTATGTGAGATTAGTCTCACAGCATCTGAAAAGTCCTGAAGATGGGTTCATTCCTGCCCTGCTGGTGTTAGGTATGAGAAAAGGGAATTCTTTTCAATTCCCTTGATAGTTATTCCAGAGAAGAAAGAGTGTGGATAGCCAGCAATATGAAACTAGCCCACAACCACTTCCATTTGGCAAAAGAAAGAAAATAAGAAATGGGTTTTGCTGCTACTCTAAACATCAGGTCCCTCTCCTTTCTCTAGCGGTAAAAGAAAGGATCACCACAGTTGGAAGATATTTGGCCAGTCTGACAGTAACATCAAGTGGTTATTTGGATCTAAATAAAAGTCTCCCCGCTCTCCGCCCCTCCTTCTCAGTGTTAAGCAGGTTCCTGAGGGAATACTGATGATTCCATTTTAAATTTTTGTTTTTCTTCGTTTTTTCCTTCTACTCACCTGATCTCCTAACCCAGGTAGTAGAACTAAAATCTCTAAATAGCTGACCCTATCTAATGTACAGAAAACTTTTAAAATAATTTTTCAAGTTCAGTATCTGTTTGACAGATATGACAATACACTGGTTTCCAAGTACCTCAGTTATTTACCTGTCTGGATTCAGAGTGCCCTAGGGAGAAACAGAGCTTATAAAAGGGAGAATGATATAAAGCTTCAGGGAAGCTAGCTATATAGAATAATTAGTGAATGTGATAAATCAGCTTTAATTATAGTTTCTAATAGCTGATTCCAAAACTGTATTGTTACTACCCAAAAAATTGTCCAAGGAAAATTCCTTTCTTATTTTCTTTGATAAGTGAAATGACCAGCAACTTGATGTGGGTGATATAAATAGTTGATGTGCTCTTTGTAGGTACTGCTGCTAAAACGTCTTTTGTTGAACACTCTGATCGCTTTAGTGCCTTTCTCATTTCCCACACACTGACCTTTCATATAGAGATCTAAATCAATGGCTTTAATTTTTAAGCAATCTTCTCTATTTTTATCTCTTTAACCTCTGTTTCCTAAACAATACAGAATAGAAAATATTATAATTATAGGTTTAGCTATGTCACCCATTCTTGCAATGGTCTGAAAGCTTTTCTATTATTTCATTTATCCTAATTACAAAAATTGGTGTTCTTTTAAATGGAGATATTTTGCCCAGAACATTTCTCTAGAAGGCACCGCTATGGATCATACAAGTAAATATTTCCAAAAAGAGAATTTTCCATTTTTGTCTAGAATCTTCTATTGTCCTGTATCTCTTCTGGAGCTATTTTGGATGGCTCTTGTATCTCTTTTCAGAAGTTAGTAGAAAAGTGTGCTATATGAAAGTATCACTCTCAGAGAAATAAGGGTTAAGTTGGTACTCCTGCAAGACCCAAAGAGCAGGGCCTCCCTGGTAGCACAAGGGGTTAAGTCTTAGCACTATGAAGCTATCACCAGCCAAGGCAGCACAAGTTCACCAGCCAGGGAGCTAACCTAGATGGTGCAGTGGACCTCTCCTGTCTTGCCTGCTGCTCCCCTCAACAGTGTATTTCAGACAATCCACCTGTTCTGCTCCCCATGCCGTCTCTGGTGAGCCCTCTCACTCCTTCTCTCCCTGCACCTCTGGCCTACACTCCAGCTCTTGTATGCATAAATAAATAGAATAAATCTTAAAAAAAAAAAAAAAAAGGACCCACAGAGCATACCAGGTACTCACTGTATCCAAGTGGTCAGAAAGTATGACTTAACACTATTTGTAGATGATATGATTCTGTATATATAAAATCCAAAAGACTCAACCAAAAAAACTGTTGGTGGGCCTACCTGTTGGCACAAGGGGTTAGGATACAACCTCTAAGGCTATCCGCAACCACTACAGCACAAGTTTGATCCCCAGCCAGGGAGCTACCCACATGGGGCAGCAGACCTCTCCTGACTTACCCACTGCTCCCCTCAGCAGTGTAATTCAGTCAATCCACCTGTTTTGTTCCCTACTCTGTCTCTGGTGAATCCTCACCCCCCATACCTCTGGCCTGTACCCCAGTTCTTGTATGCATAAATAATAAATAAATCTTAAAAAAAAAGAAATTGAAAAAGAAGCAAATAAATGAAACGATGTCCCATGTTTATGAGTCAAAAGAATCAATATTGTTAAAATATCCATTCTCTTCAACCTTATCTAGAGATTCAATGCAATCCCTATCAAAATACCAAAGGCATTCTTCACAGAAAATAGAAAAAATTTCTAATTTGTATAAAAGTATAAAAGACCCCAAATAGCCAAAGCAATCCTAAACAAAGCAATCCTAAACAAAGTATCATTACTTCCTGGTTTCAAACTATACTGTAAAGCTACAATAATAAAAACAGCATGGTGCCAGCACAAAATTAGAAGCATAGAGCAATGGAACACAACAGATAAGCCAGAATTGAAACCATGTTATACAGTTCAACAAATATTCAACAAGGAAGCCAAGAGCACTCAGCAGGGAAAGGACAGTGTTTAAGAAATGCTGCTAGGGGGGCCTCCCTGGTGCCTCAGCCGGTTGAACGCTGAGTTGTGGAGCTGTCCACAGCCTCTGCAGTGCAGGTTCGATTCCCACATGGCATGGCAGACCTCTCCTGTGGTGCCCACTGCTCCCCTCAGCAGTGTGTTTCAGTCCTTCTGCCTGTTCTGCTCCCTGCTCTGTCTTAGGTGAATTCTTTCGCCCTCCTGCGCCTCTGGCCTGTACCCCAGTGCCTGTATAAATAAATAAATCTAAAAAAAAATCATAAAATAAGAAAAAAATATGCTGCTAGGAAAACCTGGATGAACACATTCAGAGCAATAATATTGGGTCCATTACATTATTCACAAAAAAAATTACTTGTAATGAAGCACTTAAACACTGGACCTGATTCTATGAAACTCCTGAAAGAAAATGTAGGGAAGAGCTGCGCGATGTTGGTCTTGGCAATGATTTTTTTTTGATAGGACACCAAAAGTAGAAATCAATAAATGGGACTGCATAGAACTTAAAAGCTTTTGCACAGCAAAAGAAACAATTCAAAAAATGAAAAGACAACCTACAGAATAAAAGATAATTTTTACAAACCATAAGTTTGATAAGGAGTTAATATCCAAAATATGTAAAGAACTCGTAAAACTCAATTTTAAAAACAATCTGAACTTAAAATGGGCAGAACTAAAAAGGCGTTTCTCTAAAGAAGACATATAAAATGATCACTAAGTACATGAACAAATGTTTAACATCACTAAATATGAGAGAAATGAAAAAAAAAAAACACAATGAGTTATCTCCTCACACGTTAGAATAGTTATTACCAAGAAAACAAAAGACAACTAGTGCTTGTGACAATGTGGAGAAAAGGGAACCTTTGTGCACTGTCAGTGGTGATGTAATTTCATGCAACTACTATGTATAACAGTATGAAGGTTCCTCAAAAATTTAAAAATAGTATTACCATATGATCTAGCAATTCTACTTCTGGGCATTTAGCAAAAGAAAATGAAACACTAACTCACAAAGAATACATGCACCCCACATACATACAATTTAATGTTAGAAAGCCCTGAGAAAAGAGGACATCCTTCTACTTAAGACTACATAGATAGGGCCTCCCCGGTGGCGCAGCGGTTGAGCGCTGGGTTGCGAAGC